AGACATTTAGCATGTTTGGATACATATGGAGCCTAAATGAGCCAATCTTATTGAACAAAAAACTCCTTTTTCTTTTATTTCACAAACTTGGAATCTTATCCTATAAGGAGCAAAACTTATTAATCATTGACAAGCAAACTGATTTTGAAGTTTGTTGTTATTATTATTATTATTATTATTTTATTATTTTGTATCTGTAATTTCAAACATCTCCCATAAAACCTAGCGGTTTACAAGCTCAACAATTTAACTCGGTCTTTTAGAGCATATGAATAATCCCACTTTAAGACATTCGAATAATGTGGCACTATATGCTCAAATAAAAGACAAAATTAAACTTATAAAAGAAGAAACTGAGCTTTATAATGGGCGTTATTGAGCTCCACATGTGGTCTTAATCAAGTTTATTTATCAGCTTATTAACAAGCTTTAAGCAATATTATTCAAGATCATAAATAAATTGAGTAACAGTGAGAGTTCAACTTTTGATTTAAATTTGATTTACATCAAACTTTTGTGCGCACTTCGTGAAATTTCTATATTTTGTACATTAATAATGAGACATCCTCTATTGTTTGATTGTTTGAATTTTGATGACATAATATTCTCATTTTCTCACACATTTATAAAACAATATGTTGGAAAGATGTTACAAAAAAACTACTTACTGAGAAACAAATTATTTTCTAGCTGAATATTCACTATATGTAAGTTGAATTTGAACATCTTCCTTATTTCAACTTCTACTAAGAAACTCTTGACCATGAAGTATTCTCTTCTTTAAATGTTATCTTTCCCACAGACGTTAGGACATGACTATTTTTATTGTTGTCTCAAAAATTTATAAATTGCATAGGACTTTGTTGCTCCTCAAGTAGAGATGGATATTTGTCTTGCTAGAAAAACTTATGTCTCCTTGTTGATGTACTTATGATTGTTGGGTTTTTTAGGATGGGCCTTCTTTGAGTGAAAATATTGTTTCAGGTGAGTTGGGGGCTATTAGAAAGTTTTTTTTAATTTAATATTTATTTTGTGGTGAGTTAATTATTTTTGGACTCGCTATTTCCTAGTGTTAGGTTGTTAGGATGAAAAATTATCATTAAGGATCCATAATC